CCTGGCGCCAAAGGGGCCCCCCCCCCCCCCATGGATTCATTGGAAATTTGTTTCTCATGCTGGAGCAGATTTTGGGATGGGGATGGGCTAGAAAGCAACATTTCAGAATGTTGCTGTGAAAGGCAGACTTGAGTAGAGAAAATCAGAAACAAAGAACAATGGTGTGGCATGGGAATCAGAGTTTTGGGAGCAATGATTAGCTTGGAACCCCAATATTCTCTCTTCCTATCCTGTGCCACATAGTCCACACACTTTCCTATCTCCTTGTAGCCTTGGCTTTGAAGAGTGATCTTCTTTTGGCAGGCAGAAAGAGTTCCCAAAAATCCTTCCTTGGCTATGGAGGGGGCCTGTCTGATTTCCACTGTCCTTACTGTCTGAGATTGGTCCCTTGCCTGTAGAAATACAGAGGCACAGAAAGGAGAAGAGATGAACAGGAGGTGCAAAGGTTTCCCAGCAAGTGTGAGAGGCCAAGCAGCCATATGGCACTTAGGAAAGAGGAGAACTCATCCTTGTGACTAGCAATGTAAAAGAGCAAATGGAATAGGCCATATGGCCCCAAATGGTCAAGATGATGAACAGTTCCACCCGCACCAAAGTGTGGCATGGCATAAGCTCTTTTGGCCTCATATGTGTCTAAAGATTACCTCCTACAGGTTAGGGACTCTCCTGTGTACAGTGATTTAATCTGAGTTACATGATGGTTTTTATTAAATATTTAAAACTCCCTGTTTGATGGTGCTGAGCATCTGTCTTCCCTTTCCTTCTTCCCATTCCCATTTCTTATTTGCTTTCCATTCTAAAGAATATAAGCAGCACTTGCCACAGGCACACGGAAAACATGAGTGAAAATGGGGGCTGCTGGTTTCCAGTCTTCTCCATCTAGCTCTCCTTTCCATGGGGTGTGCAAAGCTTCAGCATGGGTTTGAAATAAGTTAGGGAAGGACTCTTCGTTTTCAAATTGTCAATCCAGGAACCACTGCTAACACAGTTCAATTACTAGTGAAAGACTTAGATGGGAAAGGGATTATGCCTCTGAAAGGAGTTCCTGTGTGCGAACAATATACTCATATCGCCTGTTCCATGTGGACAGGGACTCTGGTCCCAGAGTTGGTGTGTATGGAAGTATATGCATAGAGAAACTGGTTTTAGAGTTGATGGACGCATGGAGGATGAGAAGTAAGGTAATGCTTAGCCTCCCCTTCCTCAGAATCTATGGATGGAGGAAGCATATGGAAAGGGCTTGTAGTACTTTGGAGTAGAAATTTGCATAGGGGGCCATGACTGTACAGGACTCTTAGAAACTCAAGTCCACATACATGAGAAGACCAGCTATATGGGGGATTAGAAACTTCTTGCCTGTGGGCTTTTGGAGGACTACAAGTAAGACCCTAATGTCTCCCTCAAAAACCCTCACCATCCTCAGTGAAGAGAGCCACAACTACAAGCATTTCATCTCAAGTTCCTGCAAACCTGGCTCTGTTTCAACTGCTTCCTGGCCACCTTTGCAAGCAGTCCAGTAGAGCACTTGTGAAGATAGTTCAATTTCCCCCATTCTGTACTTTCACCATTAGGGGAAAGGATGGGGCTGCCAAAGTGGCCTATTTGTAACATTTACAGAGATGGACCTGCTTTGGCTGCCATGTGTTTCCCTCAGATGGGAAGGTGCATGATAGCTGAGAATGGCTTCAGCTGCCCATACTGTACAGATGATCCAGTGGAACACATGTAAGAATGGCTCTCGGCTGCCCCATGCTTTCCCTTATGTAGAAGGACTTGGGTAATGGAAAAGTACTTCAAAGTGTTCTAGGAAACCATGTGACATTGGAGGATGGGACTTGGATTCTAGCCCTGCTCCTACTGAGATCATCCAGTCTGCAGAAGAAGGCTACAGTAGGACCCAGTCCCCAGAAGCAACCCTGTTCCCTAACTATGTCTTATGTTATTTCATGACATTGGACCAATACTATCTAAGACTGCTGTCTTTAACCTGGATATTATAATCCCAAATCATCTGCAAGTTATGGCACCTGGTACAGGAAACCTTGTAAAGCCTTCTCAGATAGCAGTGGCCCTTTGTGTGTTGCTTTTTCTAGATAGCCACAATGAAGAAGCGTCCCATTCTCTTTCATAAGAGCTCTAAACAGAAATCTGGTGGGGCATCTATAAGCTTTGGTAGATGCTTATAGTCTCAGATTTAGATAGAGGAGGTAAAATGGTCCATTTCTGCCATTTCTAAAAACAAGGAGGATTTGCTTAGGAGGCTTAGAGAAATGATGCAGTCTAAGCCAGCTCCTCCCTAATTGACCAGTGAGCTTACCCATGACAGTATCCCTTTGTGTTGCCTGTCCCCCCAAATTTCTCCCCAGTCAGAGCACTTCCTACTATGAGCTAGGAATCAGCTCCAATGGCTCCCTTGTTACTGGATGGGATGTTTCTTGTCCTCTTCTGTTTTGCCTAGGGCCAACAATGCAAAGAGCAAAGAGGTCAACAAGTTTGGAGGCCTCTTTATGAAGAAAAGGATAATTGTATGTTGCAGGACATCCATTCAATGTGTCTTTGTGTAATAGAGAGCTACAGAACATGGACAAGTAGAAGAGAACCCTATAGCGTCCTCTATGTTTGCTCTGCTGCCAGTTTGTACATCCAGAGATGAGAAGACTGGAATAAACCAGATCATCCAATGTTGACTTCCTGTGTGAAATGCAAGAGGAATGACTTCCTCTGCTCTATATTATGGCATTTTTTTTGCTGTTTTTGAGTGCATTAAACTGTCTTTTCAGGAGGAGGACTGGTTTTCATTGGAACCCTGCCATTTTTGTTTATTTATTAGAATTCCGTTCTGCCTTTCCTTGAAGACTCTCAGATCTGTGTTTTAGTCTTATGATAACCTTGTGAGGTAATTCAGAAGTTGAAAGGAAAGTGACCTTCTTGGCCAATCTAATTCTGGCTTTCCTTATCCTAATCAAATGCTCTTGACTCCTGCATCACATTGACTTTTGGGGTGGCAATGGTTAATTTCCCTTGCAGTTTGAAATGCTGGGTCTGATTAGAATTTGTCAAGTTATCTTTTATTTTTATTGATTTTTCTTATGTTCCCCTTGGATAGATTAAAGAGCCGCTGTTTGGTACCTAAAACCTCTCCTGTGAAGGTACACTACAATCAGTTCACCTCTTAACCTTCTTTCTGATAAGATGAACAGTCTGAATTTCTAAGGTCCTTTGCTACAAGATTCTTTTCTAACAGATAGTTTTGTTTTTAACATCTCACTAGAAAATGAGCAATAGATCCTAGACTGGACATAATGTTCATAATCTTGGAAAACATTTCTTCTGTATCGTCTTGTTCTACTAAAATGATCTCAGTGGTCTAGTGATAAGATTACTTGGGGCTAATATTTGGGGTCACTGAATTTACTAGTCCACCAGTAAGGTTCCTTGAAGCTGCAATGCTAAACATATTTACTCAGCACTAAGTTCTGCCATGTTCAGTGGATCTTATACCCTAGAAAGTAGAGTTTGGGTGTATAACTTTGGATATAAGATCCACTGGGATATACTTCCAAATGAACAAAAGATTGGGTTGCATGACATTTTAAGAGTGTGTATCTAAGGCTTGACCCATTCCGCTCTCTAAGAAATGGCTTTTTTGAAAGCTGCCTATTGCAATTTTCTTGAAGTGTACCAGCTGGGGTAGGATGGCTCACACAGAGGTTGTTTTTTTTTAATTGATCTTCATACTGCTGATAAAGTAGGCTTCACAAAAGCTTATACTGTAATAAATGTCAAGTCTTTAAAGTGCCCCAAGACTCTTTGTTGTGGTGTGTTGCAAAAGACTAAACTTGCTGCTTCTCTGGAAATTTCTTTCTTCCCAGTATCACCAGAAGACATGGAGCTGCTGGGACAGAATTACAGTGCCTGGTTTTAATTCCAAAGGAGAAGTTGTCACCTTGAAAGACATCTGTGATCATATTCAGGTGAAGACAATTGTTCTAATTTCAGGAACAAACCCTGGCAAGTGCCCAGGGGCATATCCTGGGGTGGTCAGTTCTACCTCCACTTGTCCCTGTAGTGAGTGTGTTCTCCTCTTCCTTCCTGAGGCAGGCAGAGTGGCCTTTTCTGTGCAGGGGAAGGGATGGCTGGGCATATCTCCCTGCATGTGTATATTCTGCTCTCCACTATTATATCCAGCCTCATCTGTGAACAAATATACGGATGATTTTCATCCAGTATTTCACTCACACACACATACACACAGACCCCATGGGATGTCCCCATTCTATCCCAGTGCCATCATAGTCTTGATTAGCCAATATTCAATTCGCTTCCTGCTCCCAGTACGCTCATGTCTTGCAGCCTGATTATCCCAACTCATTCATATCCTTTGTTTCGTCCTTCGTTATTTTTCATTTTTGTTCCCACAGTTGGATTTCTGGTATTGGACACATCTGTCCATCATCATATTATTCCAGCTCAGCCTTCTCAAGTTTGGTACCCTCCAGGTAGATTTCTCTGATTCCTGGAGAGATAGCTGGGTTAGTCTTTCATTGCATGCTAAGCAAAAGATCGTGTGGCATCTTGAAGACTAATGTAGTCATTAGTTCACTGATGGCTAAGAGTTGGAGATCATGAAGTTTTCATAATCAAATACATTTGCAGGCCACCATGTTAAGGAAGACTATTCTAGCTCTTTTCTGTGTTGTCCTCAACTATTCCAGCATTATCTTGACTCAGTGGTCTTCACCTGAAAGATTTTAATGTGGTATTGACTATGTTGACTGTTTTTCACAGAGGGAACATAACCTGGTACCTCAGAAGTTGCTATTTGGGACAGCCACTCTCTATGATAAGGAAGATAAGATAATAGAGCAACAACCTCCTTTCAGGTAGGAATTTGACAGAGATATATCCATAAGAATTTAATAATAACTTGCAGTCTGAGTGCTACAAATTGTCCCTAAACCCTTTTTTCGGTGGCCTCTGGTCCTCTCTCCCTCCATACTGCCAAATTTTAGATTCCCAACAAAGACATACAGCAGTAACTTGGTTTAAGTGAAATAGGTTTAATATCATTAGTTTAACCCATTTCTCACAGACTCCAGAAAAAAGAATTCTCCTACTCACTGTGTGTCATCAGCCAACCCACTGTAGACTTTGGTCCTCAAAATCCTGTTAAGTGTGCTCCCTGGCCTTAAACTTTTTTTCTGAACAGATCATAATCAAAGATGAAAGTCTTGAGATTGCCTTCCTGCATGAACAACATTTCAGAAGGCATCTTGTGATCCACTGAGAAATATTATAGAGCCCTAATCTTCATAGCTTAGGTCTCTGGTCTATTTAGCAGTTGTAGAGGTTGATGAGGCTCTGTCTAACCAAGGCAGGGAAAGGTCTTGCGAAATTGAAATGACAGGAAAGACTTCCAGTTTAGAGGCCCATCTGTAAAAGCTATACCCAGCTTTAAATTCTAGATTCCACTCTCTGCCTTCCTGTATAAAAAACACTTGTGATGCTCTCTTTCAGCCCTAATAAAAAGCTTCCATAGCAGTTTACAGTCATTAAAAATGTTATTTTTAAAAGCAGAAGAATATAAAAACAAACCAAAATGAAACAAGTTAAATCTCAGTTTAAGATTAAAATATGACAAGGTTCCCAGGCTATCAAAGCCTCTTTACATTAATTCTCACAAAGGACTGCTGTTGGTGCCCAAGTAAAACCAAGACCTGGCTAGACAGTCTCTGGGAATCCTTCCATCTTTCTTCTGTGATAGCTGAGGTTGAATATTTGCTCTGTTTGGGCCTCTGCTTGCCCAGTTTGGTGGGCTGGAGAACAGCCCACCGTCCAGCTGTGCTTAGGAAGTCAGTAGAGGGATCCTCAGGAGTGAAGGATAGGGAGGCCATGGCTACCCCATTGCAGGGCCCCTCCAAGTACAGCCGGGGTCCTGTATCTGCAGCAGCTGCAAAGCCTCTGTGTCCTGTCCCTTCCATGCTGGGTAAACATCCTGCCGTCAGCACCTCCTCCTCAACTTCCTGGGGCCGACAAAGCTCATCCCAGCCTCAAGCAGGCCCTTCTGGGCTTCTGCCAACCAGAGGCAACTTTAGTCTCTTGCTCTATAATCTTTCCAGGCTCCCTGGCAGCCTCTCCTGCTTTCAGCACACTCACTCTCCTTCTGTCCACACCCCCTCTCCAAACCAGTCTGTAGATTCTCCCAGGCAGAAGCTCGACTCTCACTGTGGCTTCTGTTTCCTAAGGAGAGAGCAAAAAGTCTGCCTTGCTTTCTGCTCTAGATGGCTGTAGTACAGGGTGGAGAGCCTGTGTCTGCTTGGCAACCGCAGCAGCATGGCCAAGGTGGGGGATCCTGGGAGCCGTTGCCCAGAAATATTCCCCATCCATGCTCTAGTATAAAAGCCTGGGAAGAGGATATGGTGCTCCCACATGTATCCTTATGGAGGCTCACATAATTTTAGCCCCTAATTCTGGAGCACCATTCAGGCCATGCATTGGAAACAAATCCAAACAGGAAAGGGAAGCAGGATCCATATCTAGCTAATTGGTGAACCAGATGCTCTGGCAAACACTTGCTAAGTAACAACAGTGAGAGAGGCTACTACCTCTATTTCCTGCTTGAGGGCTTCTCAAAGGCATTCTGTTGACTACTGTGGGTGAAGCAGTATACTAGACTGGGATATGATTAATTAAGAAGCTTTGATGGACTTTTGCGTCCTTGGCTTATGCCAGAAGCAACTTATGAACTCAAATCCCTGTGTAGTGTCAGGTATTTCCCACTATGGTTCTGACCATACTTCCCGTATTGATTCTACCATACAATTATTGTAAAAACATGGTTTATGTTTTCAGTACAGCAAGTGACAAAGACGATCCATGCTAGTTGGCTGCTTAGTCCTTCCCCTGGCACCAGACTCACTTTTTGTTTTTACTTTCTCAGCCTGACTGAATTGATTCATCAAATCACTGAAAAGCCGGTCTCTGAGGAGCACCATCTCTTGGTGTTATCAATGGTCTGTGAAAACGAAGAGCTTGATCATGATTTGCCACCTGTTCATATCTGGCTTCAACCAATGAGTAGTCAAAAATAAGTAACTCGTGTAACAGGTCAGAAGGGAAACACTCAGACAGAAGCACTGAAAGTGGCTGCTCCAAACTCACATTAATGCAAGAATGTGCTTTGATGAAGGGATGAAAATGATGTGTCCTCTCCAGTGCAACAGCTTAAATTTGCCTGCAAGTGTTATCCTAACCCTGAGGGCCACCAACAGATAATTCATGGGAAATGAATACAAAGTGCAGTCTACTGAGTTTCTTCTTTTGCACCCTGAGTCTTGCTTCTCATTATCTTCCTACACTGCTTTGGTTGGGTGTGTGGCAACATTACATTCACCTGCTTTGTTCTGCCATAAAGTTTATTGAGTTGGTACCTCCCATGATTGTTGGTCTATGACTGTAGGCAGCACTGCCAATGTTCATGCTGGGTGGGGATTAGGCTCGTTGTAGTCCAACACAGCTGGAAGGCCCCAGGCTAGGAATGTCTGTCTTAAAGGAGGGGATATTTTCATTTTCTCAGGACTGGGAAAAAGACATAATGTTCATTGCTCATTAGTATCTCCAATTTGATGAGAGAGCTTGATGGACATGCTAGGAGAGGTTTTGGAAAGCCACTAGCAATTATAGCAGACAGCACTGGACTAGATGTAGCAGTAATCAAGCAGGGTACCTTCAAGCTTTCAGCTGTCCCTATGTTTTGAATAACTGCAGTGGGAAGGGAGAAGCTGGAATACTGTGAAATATTTGGGAGGCACTGTATAGTGCTGGAGTTGACGGTGAAATCTGAGTTTAAATGCCTCTTCAGCTATCATTGATTGGGCAGCATTGCACGAGCCATTATCCTTTTCCTCACAATAAGATGTGACTGTCATGGGGATGAATGAGACTTTGTCAATCACTCATTATGCATGCTGAAAGGAACATCAGAAGCTGCCTTAAGTGAGTGCTTCATCTAGCTCAATACGTTCTCTATACTGACTCTTCACAGTTTTGGATGGAGTTCTTTCAAGCCCTACCTGCAGATGCCAAGGATTGAATAGACATCTTGCATGCAAAATATGTGCTCTCCCAATGAGCAGTAGCCTATTGCTTGATGCACATCGTTACAAATGAAGCTGATAGTGCTCATGAACCTGCAGGGTACAACTACAGCCTCCCTGACTGATGGCCCCTCAGGCTTAATGAAGGAGAGCCCTTTGTTCCTGCTATTGCAAATAGATCCAGAAGAAACTTACGTATTTGTAAGCAGCTGCTCCAAAATTGCTTTGCTGTAACGTCTACCCATTGGTTTTAATTGTTCTGCCTACTGAGATCCATTTTCTGTGTGACAGCCCTATAGATGTTGGAAACTGCTACCTTGTAACTCCATCTTTTGTCCCAGCTACTGAAATATTGAGCTCTTTCAACCATTTCTCACATTTAATTTCCAGAGAACTTTCCTCTACTGACAGTAAGAAACATAGGAGTTTGCCTCTAATGTTAGGAATTGTTAAGGCTGACCATTTCCATGTTTGTGATTTGATTTTTAAGAAAGAGTGTGAGAACTTCACTCCTGTGAAGCTTCTCAAACAGCACCACTAATAACATCTGATAAAGGTAACTGAGAGGCTTTCCTTTCTTCCCTTCTAATTCAAATGAAGTAACTATTGCTTTACCTTAGGTTCATTCTGCACTTTATGGCAAATTGCCCTCTGACAGATTGCATCTTCTGTTTACAGTAAACTGCTAGCAACACATTAGAGTAATGAGACAGAGTTGATGATGAAATTAAGCCTCATTTCAGCAGCAGCCCTGCTCTGAAGAAAACTGCCTTTGAATCCCAGGCTGGACAGAGTATTCCTTTGCTCTTCCAGCATTTTTTCCTGTTTTCTTTTTCTCTGCAGCTAAGCCAGTTTAGCTATGTTCACACGATTGAAGACATTGTGGCTGCATTTGCACAACATGCTAAGATTGGTTAGTTTTAACCTTGTTTGTTTGTTTGCTTCTTTGCACCACAGTGTTCTGTGCAAACCTAACACTCTTGGTTAGTTTAAGATTCACTGTATTGTGTGAACCCAGAGAGTGAACTAGATAACCAAGTCAAGTGGGCTGTATTTTACTGCAGCTCCCTTATTCTCCTAACCAGTATGGCTATGCTATCCAGGAGTTATGAAAGTTATTCGCCAATGTAGCTGAAGAGTAGAAGGCTTCAGACTAGGCATTGTAATTCGCCATTCAAAATACTCGCCAGGGATTTCTCTTGTAAATCAAAATCAACTTTCTATCCCATGAAACACTCTCTTGTCTGCCTAGGTAGGAATATCAGCATGCACCAAACCCAACGGTAGCTACCGT